AAGCAAACTTGTACAGTGCTCCAACGCGTTGCAAATCTTCGACTCCGTGGGGGAAAGAGAGGACAAAGCTCCATAAGAAGAAAGAAAGAGGGAAGATCAACTAATCGAAACAAAGTTTTGATTAATTAATCCAAAGGGAGTGATATGCTAACAATTTTCCAAAGGAAATGAAAAATTATTAAAGCAAAAGGGTGAATTATTGATTATTCAAGATTAAGTTTATTCTAATGAGGAACAAACTTAATGCAAACATGAATGGAAGTGAAAAACAGTACCAAATGTCATTTAGTATGCATCACAAATCAAGTAGCATGTGATCAAAAAATGTGCAAGAATGATCATGATCATACAAGTGTCACAAAATGCAAATAATTGAGAATCGACAAATCGCACATTGAAAGTTTGCATACATGCATCTAACAGAAGCTACAAAACTCATAAAACATTCCTAAATGTCAAGCATATCAAGCCATGGAAGTTAGATGAGTAAAGAATAACAAACAAGCTTGAAAATAGGAAAAAAAATGGCATTTTGTTACATGGGTAATCAATTACCACATGCAGGTAATCAATTACCTACTTAAAATTTACAAATCCACGTGAAAATCATGCAGGGTAATCGATTACCCTTATATAGGTAATCGATTACCCTTATATAGGTAATCGATTACCACTGTAATAGTGGCAAAAAACAACTTTTCTAAAAGCACTTTCAGCAACCAAAACACTTATCCAATCATCCACATGCTATGGTAAACATTTGTGCACGAAAAATGAAGTTCAAAATCCAATTAGGCATCAATTAAACATCAATTGAAAGCATTAAACATGAAGATCAAAGATCAAACAATCACATGATTAATCAACACTGAAAAGCTACCGAAACTAAATTGTAAACGCGTGAAAGTAATCAAAACAATAAATCAAGCAAAGGATAACCAACCTACAAGACTGAGATTTGCCTTGGATGTTGTTGTAAGTGAATTGTGATGAAGATAATCAAATAAAACCAGAGAAATCAGAATTTGCAACCGAATCGTATCGAAACCAAGCAAATTGTGACGAAATCTCTAAATACGAATTTGCATCGAATAAGCTTGAAGAAATCACTTAAGATGAATCAAAAGCCAATAAAACTCCAGAAAATCAAGTAGAATTGCAAGATGATAATGGTTAATCTCAAGAGAAAAGCACTTCCAATGTGGAAGTTACTATTCTTTAATGGTGAGTTTGAGCTCTAGTTAGGTTTTGGGAAGAAGATGAAGATGAATGCAAGAAAAAGTTGCAGAAAATTTAGAGAGAGAATGTGAGATAATTGAGAGTGAATAATGTAGAAATTGAGAAAGTGATTGAGGGTGAGAAAATGATCAAGGGTCCTTTGTGAAATGGTGAAACTTTATTTATATAGAGTGGAGGTTTGGAGTTGCTAGGTTTGGAATATGATTTGGAGATAGCTTTGAAAATAGCCTTGGAGTTAGTTGGACTCAACTTATTGAGTTGGAAGTTAACTCAGTTAGTTAGGTAGTTGACTCGGTAGCAATCCCAATACAAATTCAAATCAAAGGACTCTCATGCTTGCAAATGAAGTTACATGGTGGTCTCAATTCAAAGTGATGTATTGGAGTAAATGTTTTGAAGTGTCTTGAATGGTCTTGAACTGTCTAGAGATGTCTAGAATGTTCCACACAATTCTAGAACCAAGTAGATCCCAAAATAATAGAGTGCAAGTTGCTGATATAGAAAATGAAGCAAAAACTACAATTTTTACACAGGGTAATCGATTACCCTACTTTGCCTAGCAAGGTAGTAATCGATTACCACGGGAAAAACAAGCCCATTTTGCTTGCGAAGTGGTGTTGTGGTCCCAACTTTGATTTTCAACCTTTTGCTTTGATGAATAGGCATAGAAACCCTAGTTTTTTTGCTTGTAATAATGATGTGATGTCTTTGTGAGGATGTGATTAATTGGGTTCGGAAAACCTGAATATTCCTGTAACAAAAATCACAGAGAAAAAATGCGAACGCGCATGCTAGCGATGCGAACGTACATGCTTATGCAAAAGGCAAAAAGAGAGGTCAAAATTCAGGTTACGATAGTAGGTAGTTGGGGAGTTTTGAGAAATATGATGAGATTATGATGAAATTGGGGTTTTGAATTGTATGAGATGGTATGTATGAAACCTATTATGACGTGTTGTTGCTATTGTGTTGATTGTATGGTGAATATGAGAAATTTTGGACTAATTGGTAACAGAATCACACGGAGAATTGGGACTAAATTGGTGCAGAATTGCAACTGAGAAGTTGCAGGTTCGCGCAATTTCGCTAGGCGAAGCGATTTCTCCCCAGCCTCGTCAGGAGAAAGTGGGAGCGAGAAGAGGGTGAAAAATAAGTGCTCCTAGTTTTTGTATGAAGGATGGAATTCGCCCCTGCTTCGCCGGGCGAACACCAGGCGAGCAGGAGTTGTGTGTTTTCTTTTGTTTTCTCTATTTTATGTTGTCTGGTGTCTTGTTGTCTGTATGCTTTGAATAATTGATGCATTGTATTTTGATGATTATAACATGATGATTTGTGATGTATTATAATGATGTAATACTATGATGTTTTGATGAATTTTTATGAATGGTGATGCAACTTTGACCATCTTGTGATGATGATGATTATGACATTTTGCATCATGCATTCATAGCATGTTAGGACTTCACTCCAACGATGATGTTAGGACTTCGGTCCAGTGGTGGCTTCAATCCCATTGTGTGGATTGGGGTGTTTATGACGTGCTCCAGTTCTTGTGTAGAATTGACCCTATTGGTGGGGATCTTTGGAGGGTGATGGCCTAGTGCCCATCAACATGTTGATTTGGTACCACATGCATGAGTCTATGTTATTGCATTTCATGTTATGTGGCATTGCATCTATGTGAATGATTGTTATTATTCATGAGGTGATTTTAAAATGACGTGTGATGATGCTGTGACTTAAGTGATGCTTTGGTGATGAGTTGTTGATTTGATGACTTTACGATCAAAGATGTATATATGATACTATGATGTGAATGTGTGAGTATAATACTTGGCAAATGATAATGCATGGATTTCATGATGATGTTGTTTTTGTATGATGAATGCTATCTTAATATATCTTATCTTTATATCTTGTATAATAATTTGTGATTACTCACCCTGCCTGTTTGAATGTTGTCTCCATCTCCATCTGGGTAACGTGCAGTTGATCAGGATTAGCTCTCTTGGTGCATGAAGATTAGTCTTGTAGTATGTTGATTATTTCTGTTGATTAGAGGGTTTTGCTCTGATATGTAACATCAGGCCGAGACGTTTGAGTCGAACTTTTACGTTTTTACTTCTTGCCGACATCATGGCGCTATAAGTTTCTTGTTTTTTTTTGTTTTACATGTTTTGAGTTATGAATTATGTTATATTTTGATTTTTCCGCTGCGTAGTGCTTGATTGAATTTATGATGACATAACCCGTGTTACAGAGCAGGACATTATTATGAAATTTTATGACGAAATGTGGCGCCCTTGTGGTGATGTACTTTGATATAATTGTTTATAATTATCGTGAATGCTATTTAGGGTATAAGGGTGTTACATCCATCACTGCCACAAATCGAGTCAACTCCTTTCTTCTTCCTCACTGCAAATCAAAGTCCATCCCTCTTCTCCAAACCACTGCGCTGAACAACTTTTAAAAACCGACCATTGCAACTTCAAAAAGTCAAAGGATTCAACTATCCTCACACTGACTACACACAACCAATAGATCTAATGGAACAACCTTCGTTGTAAATGCTACGAGTCTTTTTTTATTTATATTCAATTCACTCTCTTTTCCTTCTACTTCTTTCTTGTTGTTTTGGTTTTGATTTCCGAATGGGAAAGTTTTATGTTGTTATGTGTATGTTCTTTGTTGTATAGAGATAAAGTTGTGAGATTGATGAAGGTTGTTATCATGAATATTGTGATAAAGGCATGAAGAAGATGGAAAATGGATAATTTTCAAGCTTTGCTTTTGGTGGTTTTAAGAAACGTTGTTTAAAATGTGAAGAAAGATCGTGGTGGTGGTAATTTTTGCACCTATCCCTATGTACATATTAGTGACATGAATATCACGTGACAAATTTACGACGTGTTTTTTTCACGTGACAACTGATTGTGACTTACACTCCTTAGCGTGTTTGCTTACGTCGCTAAATTGTGTTTTGCGACGTAATTTTTCTATTTATGGCGTGAATATCATATGATTAATGAGTATTTTTTAAGTAGATTTTTGTAAGTTTGATATTGATTTATTAAAATTACTAAGTGTCATTTCTCCGACTAACTTCCAATATCCACTCCTTCAATATTTTCATACTATTTTTTTATGTATATTATTATTTTTAAAGTTAAATAGGTTTGTGGTCTTATTAAATATTTTAAATTTCATTTTTAATATTTTAAAATATATTTTTTAAATAATAGTTCTCTTAAAAATTTTCATCCACATTTTTAATTTCTAATATGAATACCGTCATTAAAATTATTGTTAATTCAGTCGCTAAATAATAAATTATTATTAAAATTATTTTAATTATGTCATTAAATTTTAAAAACCATCATTAAATTATAAGGAGGAATAAAAAATATGGATGCAAGATTTTACAGGATTATTCTTTAAAAAAAATATTTTGAAAAACTAAAAATAAAATTTAAAATATTTAAAAGAAATAAAAACATATTTAACCATAAATTATAATAATCATAAATAATTTTTTTTTGACTTTATCAGTGTATCACATGCATGTGTAATTCTAATTTATAAATTTATTTCAAAGTTGCTTTCTTAATGTTGGTCCTCTTATACAAAGTACTTCTATATAACATCTCTTTCTATTCTATGATTCTATCGATGATTCAATACAAAGTTCTATTTCAATTGTTCTCTAAAATATAAGATACAACAAAGCAAAGAAGATCTTACTAATAACCTGATTCACTCTACTCATAGTCATCTTTTTTGCAGTTAAGCATCGATACAAACAAAAGACCCAAAAATAGAGTTGCAGCTCCTCCAACAATTATTGCTACCACCTTTTTGGTATTGTTTATGTTTGCCCCTATATCAAATATCAAATATTTATATTTATCAAATAGCCATGTCAAAATAATGTTTTGATCCTTATATATATATATCAACTTTCATTTTTAATTCTTTTATAAATTATCATGTTATACATGTTTAAGAATTACCTTGATCAGAGTTTTCATCATCACCATTACCTGATTTTTGCATGTATGCATAGCTTATAAAACAGTTATCAAGATATATTTCTGCAGAAACTGAACTACCGCATTCTTCCCTAGCAACCATCACTGCGTCACCAACACATTCACTACATGCACAACTACTCAAATCACCTTCACACTGTGCCATCAACTTCACCTTTTTATAATCCGTTGCGTAAAACCCATCACTATTTATAATCCCATTTTCCAGTATCATGAATGCTTCATCCATCAACTCTTTAAACTCAACGTAATACTCTACAGCAGTTCCTCCACAAATCTTGTGAGACATATAGTTATTTTTGGATGCATGAATAGTTGTTTCTTGAAACTGTTCAGTTTGATATTGAACGTAACAACCTCCGAGCTGTATTCGCGCCGACGTGGAATCACTGCATAGGGTGTTTGATATGATGTGAGGAAGTAAAGATGTTACACATGTGAAACAATCTTGTTTGTTGATGTCGTTTCTGCATTGGAAGAAGCCGGAGAGGAAGGTGTTATCGTCGATAGCTTGGTTGGTTTTGAAGAACTTGTATGGAGAGGATTGTGTTATGAGTAGTTGGAATAAGGAGGTGAGTGATTGAGAGTAAGTTTGATGGTTGAAGGTTTGAGTTGAACAAGTTTTGTATACTAATGTGTTGTGATTGGAAACTTGTAGGGAAGAAGGTAGAAAGAGCAAGGAAGTGAAAGTGAAGAAGATGATGGTGGTGGAAATGGAATTGGAAGCATTCATTTTGGAGATGGTTCAACGCTATAGGAATTAATTTTGAGACATTGATTTGGAGGAATGAATGTTTGAATATTTTATGGTATGTTGTGATTGTTTGGTGTTACTTTAATTTGGAAATGTTGTAGTGCTGTGGGGAGTTGGGTTTTGGTTTGTTTTTTCTTTCCTAATTCTATCTACCGAATGAATTAGCAGAGACTATGAATTAGGCCTTAGAAATATATTATTAACATCAATTTCATGTTGACTATTGAATTTACAAAACCCATCACATAAAATTTTGAAACCCCATTTTTTTATGTTCTAGGTTGTGGGCCTACTTGCCCTGACCCAGGGTGACCTTGTTTATTATGATTAAAATATACTCGAACAATATGTGATAAATACTACAACCATGTCTTAAATGGAGTGAAGCAAAATAATCATGAGCATAATTAAAGAAGGAAAGGAGTGAAGTTTATGAAAAAACAAAGTTGAGCAAAAAAAAGTCAATATCAAAGGAGTTGAAGTCTTTGAAAACTTGTTTGATCTTGTGTCTCAGGGTAATTTTATATGTTAAGGATTAATAGTGTATAATTAAATATGAGTAGCTTTCGAGACACAAGTAATGCACACACACTCAAAATGATTTTACAAACTTAATTTTTTTCAAAACTTTCTAAAAATCATTTATGGTCATTTGTTCATCTATTAGGAAGCATCATAATCAATCGGGAAGGCAAAAAGAATCAATCTTTAATCGATTAGAACATTATCCAATTAATTATGGAGTGAGTTCGCCACATAATCGATTATGAACTCTCTTAATTGATTAAACCTTAAATCTGTCTATTTTTCTTTCCTAATAAGTTAGGTCTAATTGATTGACATGTGAACTTTGGATGTGCCTTCATGTGCATTTTTTAGAATTTCTCATGCCTCATTGGCTTCACTACATGTGTTGATTAATCTAAACATTGTTCTTGTCTACACCATTGAAAATAACATTTAGAGCTTTGGAGTTTCCAAGAGCTTTTTCATCGTCAGCATTAGACCACTCGGTATCTGGCTTTAAGATTGATGTTTCATCTTGAGAGGTAGTCACAAGGTGTTTCCAACTTTTTATTATAACTTTCCATGTTTTGTTGAAAATGGATTTAAGAAAAGCATTCATTTTAACTTTCCAATAATCATAGTCAATACCATCCAAGATAGGTGGTATATTGACCGATCTTCCTTCCTTTGTGTTCCGGACTGGTCCAATGGCTAGGCATGACCCAATCCACTTCTGCTCCCAGAACGATACAATTGCCTAAGTCCAACCTCTTTGGTGGAAAGTTTACCTTTCTGCCCCTCTAACAGTGGAGGCTGACCTATTTACCCTTGGTCACAACACTTCTCCCCACCAGTCTCTACCCGTCACGCACGGTTCCACCATCCAGAAATAGCCAAGACGCTTGTGCCTGTAACTACGCATCTGCTTGCCCCAACGGCTAGTTCTGGCAGTTACCTATTCTTTAGGAACGAACATCTCGCCCCGAAAATAGGGACCAATGGCCAAGCGTTGGGGACATTATAAAAACCCTCTCATTGGAGAGGGTTAGGTACCCAATATTCACCCTAAAACACACATATTCTGCACTTGCTCTCTCTCTTACTCGTTTTCTTACTTTAGCATCGGAGTGCCTTGCAGGTACACCCTCTCCTTCTCTTTCACATCCAGCATCACAAACGCTTGTCATTGGCCTATTTCAGGTTCTGATCAACTGGTAAGATCAGTGGCGACGTCTATGGGAAACTTGTTATCCCCATCTTTTTTCTCTTCATAGAACACAAGAACAAAACAATTCTTCAAATTTATGATCATGGCTACCCGTGACAATAATCTTGATGCTTGTAACTCTGCTTTTCTCCCCGTCAGCAAGACTGATGCTGATGGAGCCACCGCCTCTCATGGCAACGACGTCCTCCTACAAAGAGATATAACCACAGCTTCTCCATCCCCTGTTCGTGCAGATCACGACGAAGCCCCACCTGTCAGTTCCAGTTCTGCCCAACGTCGACCCGGCCATGACGACCTCCTCGAGGTTCTCAACAAAACCAACCTCCTAATCATCAACCAAAACGCGAGGATTAGAGCATTAGAAGAGTCTCGTCGTCCAATATACCCTTCGCCGAGGAAAGAAATTCAGCAACGATGGAGACCCCCTCTCTGGCGCGAGAGGAACCGTCAGACGCCTCCAGAGCCAAAGACCCTGACCATCCGCAAACGCGACCAGATTTCCCCCTGGAACCAGCATTTCCCACAACCCAAGAGGACCAAAAGAGGCCACCAGGCAGAATCCCAACGTTCGTCTCCGCCCAGATCCAAGGGTCGAGCATGAACCCTGTCTCCCCGACGAGACCGCCATCCTACCTATAGACGTGATACCCACTCCCCTTTTTAGACCATAAACAACAGCGATGACGAGCCTCGCGATCCGTTGTCCCATGAGATCATGGTCATGTGCCTCATAAAAGGACTAGAGAAACCTCTCTCTCTAGGCACATACGAAGGAACAACTGACCTCAATGAGCACATCGAAAACATCGATGCGCTGCTTGACTATCGCGGCGTCCAGAGAGCCATCAACTGCAGGTTTTTCCCGACCACATTCAAGAAAGGGGCAATGACCGGATGTCACACCCAAATTTTTGACGCTAAGATCCCACGGCTTTTTGCATCATCTGTATAGGACATGATGTCTTGCATCTTGCATAATACTCAATTTATCAGCAGGAATAAACTCGTTGGAGTTACAGCGAATTAGTCAAACCAAAAGTCAAATGTGCGTAAAATCAGTGTAGGGAAATTTTAAAATTGAGCTTGTGAGCATCAGTGATATTAATCTACGTTTCGCGTAGTTTAACCCGGCGTGCTCATTCAAATTTTTCGACCACTTTTCGGTTGCATTTTGGACAGTTTAAGCCATTTTAGCGGGTAGAATTTATTTTAAAATTTGACTAAACGCTGTATTTTTCCGATACGCATATTTCGCGTTGATTATTTTGGTGTATTCATTTTATTTTTTCGAACAGTTAGATACCAGTCTAATAATTTTTTTTTACCGATTTCACTTCTATTTTAATTAATAATATTTTTTTATTAGTCAGATTTTCATTTAGATTTTACTTTAAATAGTTTTTTTTATTTACTTATTTTATTTATCATTTTCTCATTTTTATATTCTAAATTTTTTATTTTTATCCATTTTTAGGTAAAATCTCTTAATTAAGTTTTGAATAGAAATTTTGTTTTTGTACTACATCTTGTGAAACATTACTACTGCAATACTACATACAATGCAGTGTACTTTTTAACATTCTACTAAATTTATTTTTTACAGCTTATTTGTATAATTTTAACATTCACAACTTTATTTTACACTACATTCATACAATTTTTTTTACAACACAATCAATGCACATTTTTTCATCAATTTCACTTTCAACTTTTTCTGCATTCAATCACAGTTACATGTAAGATTACACACATTATTTTTTTTTTCATTACATTAATGTTAGTTTACATTTTCTTAACAATTATGATCTTATTACTAAACACAAAAACATCATTTTTCTATACTTACTCACATTTCTTCAATTTTGATTCATTTTTTCATAACATGTTATATTTTTAAAATAATATGAAAATTTTGTCTTATTAGTTTTTTAGAAAACTTATTTATTAAGTTTTGGAAAAGTTGTTTTTACTTGTGTGTTCATTTTCATAATATCCTGAGCACATTTTTTTTAAGACTTTGATACTTCATTGTCTGCACTATACAGACATTGTGCATAAAATAAAAGAGAGGAAAGACATGTCTCATAATTCGTACGATACTGCAGCCCTTCATATATATCAACACACAACACTTCATTTATTACTGCATCAACTTTTGTTTTAATTGTTATTGAACATGCATATAGTAAAACCACATCTCTTCATTCCTAAATGCAACAAACACCCTCATTTTTATTTCTCTGAAACTATACTCCAAATGCATAAATCAACCACCCTTTCATCACTTCACATGCTAATAAATCAAGAGTTGATACACTAAATCACAAACCGTAACTTCATGCATAATACCATAAACAACAACTAACAAATTCATTCTTCACCACACTCATATGCAACTCTTTCTTCCACCTCCATATCTCTCACAACTTTCAACTTCTTCACTTTAAAAATAACACACCTCAAGACTCTGCTATGAACCACTGTCGTTAGCCACCGTGTTTCTTCATTTTTGCCACTGTACTTCTGCTTCGAGGTTGGCGACCTTTCTCTTCCTCTACATATTTTCATGAACTTTGTTTTTTTCTTTTCTCTTTTTACCAAAATGAGAAGTTAATATTTGTTATGCTGCAAATACACACTTTCACTCAATTGTTTTTTAATTTTGACCATATTATTTCAATGTTGACTTCTTTTTTGTTTCATTTGTATTAGTATATCTCTTTAGAGAATATCACGTGGCAGGTATATATACTAAGTTGGTTTTGGTCCTTTTGGATTTAAGTGAGCCAAATGATTCCATGTTTAGGTTCTATCACTCATAATCTTCCCATATAGTATAATATACTGTAATAAAAGGAGAGATTAAATTGTTATATATATATATATATATATATATATATATATATATATATATATATATATATATATATATATATATATATATATATATATATATATATATATATATTGTTCTGGCTTGGACCCCGACTTGACCGGGCAAGTCCAGCCCAATAATATTCTGCCAAGCCCAATCTAGTTTGGGCTGCAGCCGTCGAGCACAGAGTCTCCGACGGGCAGGTAATGTCCCTCCGTTGGTAGAACCTTCCTCATCTGTATTGAACCCAAGACTCCCCGTCGATCAGACACTGCCCCGTCGGGCAGAACCTTCTCTCTTGTCGGGCAGAACGACGTGTCCTTCACGTGTTCTCTACATGCTCCCCTCCGCGGGGACACGTCATCCACC